CCCCCCCCCCAAACCCACAAACACAACTATGTATTCTGTAAAAGAAGCTTAATCACTTTTTGTATTTAACCTGAATGAAAAGCAGCTATGTTACACCCACCACTTCAACAAGGTTTCACTCAACCCCCCATCACAACAATATGATCAGCTATTATAATAGAACTCATGTCTCACCTCAGTGTATCCTTTGGACAACAGTCAACACATAAAGAACATTTCTATCAGGGTATGTCTACACTAGCACCCTAGTTCGAACTAGGGAGGCTAATGAGGGCGACCGAAATTGCAAATGAAGCGCGGGATTTAAATATCCCACACTTCATTAGCATGTTCTCGGGCGGTCGCCATTTTGGAAATTGACTAGCATGGAGTAACTGCCCGCATCTACACGTGGCAGTGAAACGGGAGTTCAAAGTAACCCCTTACGTCGAATTAGCTGTTAAACCTCATTCCAGGAGGAGTAACAGCTAATTTGAGTTAAGGGGTTACTTTGAGCTCCTGTTTCACTGCCGCGTGTAGACGCGGGCAGTTACTCCCGGTTAGTAAATTTCTAAATGGCAACCGCCCGGGAACATGCTAATGAAGCGCGGGATATTTAAATCCCACGCTTCATTTGCAATTTCGGTCGCCCTCATTAGCCTCCCAAGTTCGAACTAGGGGGCTAGTGTAGACGTACCCTCAGTGACTATCACAAATACCTGTTGAAAATAGTAGGTGAAATCCATTTCAGTGAAATACAAGTGGCAAATTGGCAATCAGTATTCTCAGTCAATTCGTCCTTCCACGGCAGTCTATTACACAAAGGTTGTAAACCCATCATCAGCCTATCAAAACACAGGATCTAAATGTTCCTGCATACTTCATATCCATTGGCTTAGTCTGTTCAAACCAAAAGATAATTTTTCCTTTCTAAAATGCCATCCTGTTGCCACTAAGTCCCACACTGACTATGATTTGTTGCCACAACAGCCAACATTCTGTTACTAAAGGTCTTACTATATTGCTGGAATTTTGAACTCTTTACATTAACTTCAAGTTTTGACAAATGTTAAAGGTGCAAAGGAAAAACAAAAGATTTTTAAAAAACAAAACAAGAAATATGTAAGTCCTAAAAGTTCTAGGGTATGGGGCAAGTGTACAAATTATATTTTGGGGGAAGGAGTTAAAACACATTATAAATGCAAGGTTTTTTTTCACTTGTATACTTCCTGGAAGACACTATGCATTACTGAAGAACTAACAGAATTACATTATCACTAGTAACAAGAAAGTGAAACCTGAAGTGACAATGAAATATCTTGCAAATTGCATATTATTTGCTTTTTTAAAAATAAACTATTTAATCCAAACACCTGATTAAAAAGTTTGAAGAAAATATTTATCTGCTCCTCCAATAAGAACTCCAGCAAAAACAGTGAAGACAAAACACTTGATACTCTTGAGGGAGGGTGAGAGGGTTGAGGGGTGTCCCCCCCATTTGTATGGGAACATTGCTGGCTGTTCCCCTTTGTCAGGGAGTAAGGGGAAAGTGTACAGTTTCCTGTATTCCTCACTCTGGCTGACGAGTACAGAGGAACCTGGATCTACCTCAGTCAGGGGACATATACCCCTTCCCCTAGCTGTGCCCACTTGAAGCAACAGTAGCCATAGAGAGGCACTTCTCACCTGGCCCCAAACTGCTGTAGTGAGAGAGAGCTGGGGTAGTCCTCTCTCCCTGGGGGTAGCCTGCATACTGACCCCCTTATCCCCAGTCCCACCCCAGAGCAATGATTTAAATGGCCCCCCAATTAATTGAGTTAAAAACCTGAGAAATGCCAGGTAAATCTTTTCGTACCTCATAAAGAAGAAAACGAAGGATACAGATTTGACCATTTTTCATTAAAAATGGTGCTTACTCCCCCCCACATGTTAAGCAATGTCAAGCTTTGCTTTAACACTTGCAGGAAATGGGCTGGAGATTTATCAGGCTCATCCTGTACAAAGAACTTGATTCATATAATTTTTTTTTTTTTTCTAAATCAACAGGGTAAACTGCAGCAAGTTCTGTGGCATGCTTGTGAATATCAGATATATCTACCAAGTTGTTTTCAACTAGTACTCCAAGTTGGTGATTCAACAACTCACGTGTATCCTGTCATACAGACAAGCGAATACCTGGTTGATTACATACAAAATCTCAGTGCAAAACTTTTGACTTCCCTCAAGTAAAACCTCAGGCTCTCCCACTTCATCTGCTAATTATTTTCATTTTTTGACATAGAATGTTTGGGAGTGCATTGCAGGGTCCCAGTCATGGGAAGGAGCACCACCTAGCCACACTCTGGCCTTATCCCAGCCTATCCTATGGTTCTATTCCTGGCCACGCTCCAGCTGCACCTCTGGTCCCACTTCCAGCCATGTCCATGGGGCACAGGATACTGGAGTACTCCTAGGTTTTTGGCATCCTAGTCCTGCACCCCTGTAACCCAGGATCCTGGCCACTAGCCCCATGTCCCTGCCATCTGGGATCATAGCTGCTGGGCCCACTGCTGGCCCAGGTCCCACTCCTAACTGCTGGGTCCATACTCCAGCTGCACCTCTGGTCCCACTTCCAGCCATGTCCATGGGGCACAGGATACTGGAGTACTCCTAGGTTTTTGGCATCCTAGTCCTGCACCCCTGTAACCCAGGATCCTGGCCACTAGCCCCATGTCCCTGCCATCTGGGATCATAGCTGCTGGGCCCACTGCTGGCCCAGGTCCCACTCCTAACTGCTGGGTCCATACCTGGGAGCTCCGTCACTGGGCCCCACACATAGGTTTCCACCCAGCTGCCAGGCGGG